AATTAAAAATATGATTATAATATATATTATCCATTCTGTTATAGAGCTGTCTATCACACTGTAGACACTTACGCTTTCACTCTAGTTATTATCCTAATAAAATCAATTTAATACAATAGAACTTCGTCAAGAAGTTCTTCAAGTAGATTTGCTAGTAAAATATCATTATTTTGTTGTTGTACCACTAATGGTTCTTCCCAAAACACGTCATTACAAAGATAATTAGGGTTCATGTCAGGTTGTATTTGTCCCAATCCATATCCTATAACACAATTGTGAATAACTGTTCCATAGGGTAGATTCTTCTTGCAGGCTTTGCAATAAGTATGAATATGGTGATTTTCTGTATCACAATTAAAAGTACATTGGGATCCTTCTTTTGTAATAGGTTGTCCAGTGATAACTTGTTTAATTTTAATAAATTCACAATAGATATCTTCCAATTCCTCTTTAGGTGATTGGTACCCAACAGCAGTAATTAATGGTTCATTTGCAAACTGTTGATACAATTGTTCCTCAAACCATAATTCTTCAGGATTAGGCGTGAAACTTTCTTTTATTGAGGAATGCCATTCAATTTCAGGTTCTTCGTCACAGACAGATACCATAAAAATTTCACAAACATTTTCTTTTTCAGATTGTTCTTCATTAATTCTTGACAAAGCATCAGCATTCGCATTGTGTCTTCCTGGCCTATGCTGAATAGTGTAATTATAAGGCTGTAATTCCATCATCCATCTAGCACGTCGTCCTTTTGGTATTTTAGATGTTTGTAACCATTTTAGTGCTGAATGGTCTGTAATTAATTCAAATCTAGATGTACATAAATAATGATGAAAATGTTGAATAGCCCATACTATCGCTAAACATTCTTGATCTGTAACTGAATAATTCTTTTCTGCTGGAGTTAAACTTCTACTAGCATATGCGATAGGATGTTCTCTTCCCTCTTTATCTTTTTGTGCTAATACAGCTCCTAAACCTATTCCTGATACATAGGTATATAGATAAAAAGTTTCATCAAAATTCAGATATTGTAAAGTTGGTGCATTAATCAAACAAATTTTTAAACGGTTGAATGCATTTTGTTGCTTTTCAGTCCATTCAAATATCTGATCCTTCTTTAACAAGGTATTTATAGGTTTTGCAATTCGTGAGAAGTCTTTAATAAACTTTCTATAATAAGAGAATAACCCTAAAGCTGATCGAACTTGAGATACATCTTTTGGTGTTGGTAAGTCTTTTACCTTTTCAATTTTTGCTGGGTCTGGTTGAATACCGTCTCTTCCAACTATATGTCCTAGAAATGTTAGATTAGGCATACAAAAACTACATTTCTTCAATTTAATCCTCAAATTAGCTTCTCTCAATGCTTGAAAGACTTGTTTAATATGATCAATATGTTGTTCAAAAGATCTTGAATAAATTATGATATCGTCTAAATACACCGAGACAAATTTAGCTGCATATGGTTGTAGAACATAATTCATTAATCTTTGAAAAGTTTCTGGAGCATTACATAATCCAAAAGGCATTACGTTAAACTCATATAATCCAAAATTGGTGATAAAGGCAGTCTTTTCTTTGTCCTTTTCTTCTATTTCAACCTGCTAATAACCATTAGCTAAATCTAATGTAGTAAACCAATTTGCTGTTCTAAATGATTCCAACATATCATCAATCCTAGGTAAAGGGTAAGCATCCTTTTTCGTGACTGCATTTAATTTCCTATAATCAACGCATATTCTTTTGTCCCCAGTTTTCTTGGCTACAATTACTACTGGTGAGGCCTATAGACTTTTTGATTTTCTAACAATACCTTTGTTTTCCATGTCTTCAATTTCTTGACGTAGAAATTATTAGTTATCTGGGCTACATCTATACGCCGTTTGTGCAATTGGCAAGTCTTTTTCTAAAATTATGGAATGTTTGATGATAGCAGTTCATCCTGTATCTGTTTGACTTCCAGCACACAAATCACTATTTTCCTTAAGAGTTTGTTGAAACGTATTCTGTTGATGTGCATTCAATGGTCCAACTTGTAGTTTAGGTTTTTTTTGTTCTTCCTTTGGCAAGTCAGCTAGATACACACTTGGGTATTTATTTGTATGTATTTTTGCACGAATTTCTTCCAAAATTCTATCTGCATATTTAGTATGAGTGGAAGTTGTTTCTCCTTGTTCTGCCATATCTGCATATTCTTCAAAGCAAAATGGCCACCATTTTCCTTGCTTCTCTGGTTCAGTTTGTTCAAAGGTCCAGTCTGATGCGATTTTAGTAATGTATACATCACAATCGTAGAAGTCATCATTAAAAAGGTAGTCTACATCTTCAGGTTTAATTGGTATACCTGTTTTCTCATACGTTTCCCTTAATACTGCTTGAAGTAATGTTTCATTAGGTTCTACTTTTCCACCTGGCACTTGCCACATTTTATACATTTCTTTTCATGGATTAATTCTTTGTGACATAATAATATCCTGGTGGTCATACATGATATTCATTACATATTTTGGTTGAGTGTTATTTTCAACTTCACTTAAGAATACGTCATATTCATCCAAGTCTTCTTCCTCATATTCGTCTAAGACTTGGTCTAAATTTTCTCTTTCGTCTACCATTCCTTCTTCAAAGAGGATGATAAAAGTAGCTCGTTTAGTTACATATGAAATAGAAGCAGTTTGTGTACTAAAGTCAAGATTCATTTTGGTTTTTCTACACCAATCTACTCCTAATAATAATGTATCCTGTGGCGACTCAATTACTTGAAGTTCTACTGAAACCGATACATGTTGTATAATTATTCTTGCTTCAGTAATTTGTCCTAATGCTCTTATACGACTCCCATTAGCTGTGGTCATGATTAATTTAGAAGGTTTATCAATATTAAGTCCCAACTTTTTAGCTAACTTATTGGTAATAATGCTAACAGCTGCTCCTGTATCAATTATAGCTTCGATGGGGTTATTCTTAATTCTAATATATACCTTGCAGGAAGTTGTTTTCTTTTCTGGTTCATCATCTATGAATTCCAAGGAATTAACACTAGGTGTTGATATAAGATGACATCTTAAGGCGTTTGCTAAATTCCTCCGTTGGGCTGGTATTTGTAACCATTGTTCTAAAGTCGCAGAAGATTGTTTCGATAGAATATCGTCAGCTATATTATATGGTGCAAGATTATCAATTCTGGAAGGATTTTGCGCTCTTTTAGTTGGTTTTTGTTTAGGAGTAGATTCTACTTCCATTTTAGTTGGGTTAATAACACGAGTTCTAAGATTCATCTCTTTATTTAATTCAGACGTTCTAATCATTTCTCTTTGTCGTGTTCTTGCATTCTTCCTATTAGTGGTATATGGTCGAGATCTTTCTCCTGCATATACTTCAGATGTTTCCTCTTCTTCTTCGTTATCAGTAAAAACTTCAATTAAATTAACATTTCTTGGTTTTGCTTTAGAAGATCTTTCAGACAAGCATTCTCTAGAAT